GTACCGATTATAGTACGATTTAGTAGTTTTCGTACACACAAGTAAACAAATCCAAAACTACGTTCATATCCCAATCCTACACTCCAACGGCAATTTTGATTTCAAATTCCAGAATTCCAGCTCGATTTGTATCTCCAAATTAAAATTGTACTAAATATAGTACCATATAGTACTTTTCGTACACATGAGTACACGCTTTCAAAACCATATCCTTAAATGGACCCTACTTCTAAACCATAATTCACACTCCAAATTTCAAGTTTTTAGCGCTATCCGTTCACATGATACAGAATTGTACCAAAATTTGTACATTTTTGTACTTTTCGGATAGTTATAGTTCGAATTTCCAAAAACCCTTTGGTACATCTATCCTATCCTCCATCAACGACCACCAAACCAAATTTCAGAGATCTAGCTTCGCCAAATACAAATTGCATCACATTTAGTCCTTTTCGTACAGTTCTAGTACGAATTTCCAAAAACTCAGCCTTATCTGTCACATTTGGAACAAGAGTGGCCCTCACTTTTCTTTAACTCTAATAATACTAACTCGAATAGTTCCTTCAAATATTCTTCATAAAATCCACGCTTTGTAACCATTATAAATGCTCAATTCCTTAAAATATTCTTTAAAAAAATCCATATATTTCAACCTTACAAATCTTAAAAATACTCTTTAAAAAATCCACTCCTAAAAAAATATTTAAAAAATCAACACTAAATCCCTAAAAAAATGTTTAAAGCCCACGCTGTAACCCCTACAATATAACTCTTATAAATTCTCAAAATATTCTTTAGACAATCCACGGTTTGTATCCCTTATATATCCCTAAAAAATTCTTTAAAAAATCCACGCTTTGTGGCTCTAATGGTCATTCAAGAATATTTTTTAAAAAATCGACGCTTTGTGGGTCTAATGGTCCTTCAAGAATATTTTTTTAAAAAATCCACGCTTTGTGGCTCTTATGGCCCTTCAACAATATTCTTTAAAACATTCAAGCTTTTTGACTCTAATAGACCTTTGAGAATATTCTTTAAAAAATCCACACTTTATGGATCTAATGGTCCTTCAAGAATATTGTTTAAAAAATCCTCGCTTTGTGGCTTTAATGGACCTTTGAGAATGTTCTTTAAAAATCCACGCTTTGTGGCTCTAATGATCCTTCAAGAATATTCTTTAAAAATCCACCCTTTGTGGGTCTTATAGTCCTTCAAGTATATTCTTTAAAAAATCTACGCTTTGTGGCTCACATGTCTAGATCGACTCCATTAGCCTAGATATGACGATCGGTATACTAAAACGTGGGTCTAGTACCAATATTTCGCGGACCTTACAGCATAGTTGTATAGGGTGTAAATAGGGCAATACCTTTATTTTAGAACTATATTTAAACATAGACATTTATTAAAAAAAAAAAAACAAAAAATTATAAAATAAAAAAATTGTGAGGAAAAAGTTTTCAACGGTGCCCCCTCTACCCTACACTTTGGTTGGAAAATGCTGCTATGACAATAGCAATACATAAAATGGTGCGACACTTTTATATGGAGATTATATTAAAACAATAACATATTCTGCATTATACATCGTCCCTCCATGACCGTGGAGTCATAGCAATGTATGTGCTATTTTTTATTGCGAGCCTATCATTAAATTTATAGCATGATACATAAACGTGATAATTATATCATGCTACATATTTTCTATTTCACTTTTAAAAATTAAGTAATGCAACATTGTTGCATAGTTTGAGGAGCACTCGAACATTTTATATTAGTGGTTTTGCTAATCACCGCTAGGTGGCGCTATCATAAGCAAATGAAACAATTTGTAATTTGTTTCGGCGAATACAAAAGTTTTAAACAAGAGATGTTATATATACAAACATTTTTTTTTGGTTTTGGTTCACTGTTCAATTCATTTATATTACTTGCGAAAAAAATTCTTTAAAAATCCACGCCTATTATCCTTAACAATCCATGCGAAAAAAATCTTTAAAAATCCACGCCTATTATCCTTAACAATCCATGCGAAAAAAATCTTTAAAAATCCACGCCTATTATCCTTAACAATCCATGCGAAAAAAATCTTTAAAAATCCACGCCTATTATCCTTAACAATCCATGCGAAAAAAATCTTTAAAAATCCACGCCTATTATCCTTAACAATCCATGCGAAAAAAATCTTTAAAAATCCACGCCTATTATCCTTAACAATCCATGCGAAAAAAATCTTTAAAAATCCACGCCTATTATCCTTAACAATCCATGCGAAAAAAATCTTTAAAAATCCACGCCTATTATCCTTAACAATCCATGCGAAAAAAATCTTTAAAAATCCACGCCTATTATCCTTAACAATCCATGCGAAAAAAATCTTTAAAAATCCACGCCTATTATCCATAATAATCCATGCGAAAAAAATTATTTAAAAATCCACGCCTATTATCCTTAACAATCCATGCGAAAAAAATCTTTAAAAATCCACGCCTATTATCCTTAACAATCCATGCGAAAAAAATCTTTAAAAATCCACGCCTATTATCCTTAACAATCCATGCGAAAAAAATCTTTAAAAATCCACGCCTATTATCCTTAACAATCCATGCGAAAAAAATCTTTAAAAATCCACGCCTATTATCCTTAACAATCCATGCGAAAAAAATCTTTAAAAATCCACGCCTATTATCCTTAACAATCCATGCGAAAAAAATCTTTAAAAATCCACGCCTATTATCCTTAACAATCCTTGCGAAAAAATTCTTTAAAAATCCACGCCTATTATCCATAATAATCCATGCGAAAAAAATTATTTAAAAATCCACGCCTATTATCCTTAATAATCCTTGCGAAAAAAATTCTTTAAAAATCCACGCCTATTATCCTTAATAAACCTTGCGAAAAAAATTCTTTAAAAATCCACGCCTATTATGCTTAATAATCCTTACAAAAAAACTCTTTAAAAATCGACGCCTATTATCCTTAATAATCCTTGCGAAAAAATTCTTTAAAAATCCACGACTATTATCCTTAATAATCCTTGCGAAAAAAATTCTTTAAAAATCCACGCCTATTATCCTTAATAATCCTTGCGAAAAAAATTCTTTAAAAATTCACAGCTATATTATCCTGAATAATCCTTGCGATAAAATTCTTAAAAAAAGCCACGCCTATTATCCTTAATAGTTCTTGAAAATAAAACACATTAATTTTTTAAATTTCATTTTCATTCACTTTTTGTTAATTTTTTTCTTTTCAGATTTCATTATTCAAATCTTAAGGCTAAACAGGGCTTGACAAAATATGGCCTTCAGGTTTATATCCAAAAAATGAACATTCCAAGGTGTTGAATGATTTCATCTACGAAAAATGGAGTCTTTCTTATTTGATAAACATTCCGAGAATATTTTTCCACCTTTAAAATTTGTTCGAATAAATATAATTAAAAAACAAACTGCAATAAAAATAACATTGAATTAAAAACCAAAAAACAGTGTTTTATTTACCATGGAAATATGGTAGGGTTCTTCACTCATTTGCTTTCTCAGAGGTCAGTTTTTCCTCCAGGCTCCCAGTATCTAATAGCAAGTAGACAGAAATTAAAAAAAAACAAAATTGCAAAAATGTTGGTCTGGCAACTCCGTGCAACTGGAAAACCAAAGCATACTTTCAGGCGCCTATTATTTTCCGCACAATGAAAATTTCAATCTGGCAATGCCATACCAAAAGTTGCATTTACAAAATTCAGAGCATACTTTCAGGCGCCTAATTATTTTTAATTTTTTGTCCACCTGCTACTTTCTACGGAATTCTGGGCGCCTGGTATTTTTCGGGAATTTTGACAAAAAACTAAATCTTTCCATATTTTTGAGTGATGACGTCACATGGGACTTCAGGCGTGGATATTTTCTCAAGGATTATTCAGGATAATAGGCGTGGATTTTTAAAGAATTTTTTTCGCAAGGATTATTCAGGATAATAGCCGTGGATTTTTAAAGAATTTTTTTCGCAAGGATTATTAAGGATAATAGGCGTGGATTTTTAAAGAATTTTTTCGCAAGGATTATTAAGGATAATAGGCGTGGATTTTTAAAGAATTTTTTCGCAAGGATTATTAAGGATAATAGGCGTGGATTTTTAAAGAATTTTTTTTCGCAAGGATTATTAAGGATAATAGGCGTGGATTTTTAAAGAATTTTTTTCGCAAGGATTATTAAGGATAATAGGCGTGGATTTTTAAAGAATTTTTTTCGCAAGGATTATTAAGGATAATAGGCGTGGATTTTTAAAGAATTTTTTTCGCAAGGATTATTAAGGATAATAGGCGTGGATTTTTAAAGAATTTTTTTCGCAAGGATTATTAAGGATAATAGGCGTGGATTTTTAAAGAATTTTTTTCGCAAGGATTATTAAGGATAATAGGCGTGGATTTTTAAAGAATTTTTTTCGCAAGGATTATTAAGGATAATAGGCGTGGATTTTTAAAGAATTTTTTTCGCAAGGATTATTAAGGATAATAGGCGTGGATTTTTAAAGAATTTTTTTCGCAAGGATTATTAAGGATAATAGGCGTGGATTTTTAAAGAATTTTTTTCCAGGACCCATAAAAGGCTTGGATTTTTAAAGAAGGCGTAGATTTTTAAAGAATTTTTTTCGCAAGGATTATTAAGGATATTGAGTACCATTTAGTACCAAATTTCATGAGTCGGGCTCTATAGTGATACTTAATCCAAGTTTCAGGATTCCAACTCTATCGGTTTACTCACAATTCAAATTGTACCAAATTTTGTACACAGTAGTACTAATTTGTACAATGTTTGAAATAAAACAACGAATATATAACTTTCTTTGCTATCATACATATTTAAAAGAATATGCTTGTGTATATTTTTTTATCCAGCTTAACATTATTGGAATGTTTATGGCGTGTAGATATTTAAAATAAGGCATCAAAATTGTATATGCTGATATTTGTAGAATTATACCCGGGTGATTTCAAATTAAAAATTTTGAAATATTCTATCAGCCTCCAAGTTATTTTTGGGTTCTTCGTTGTCGTACAGCATAATATTGTCTTTTTTGATTATATCCAATGGACGGAGCTGGAAGTATAGAAAATAATTTCAATTATAAGGTAAACATGTAAGGGAAGAGCAAATTTCAGACAATCCGACTTTACAACAGTTTGGATATATATTTGGATATATATTAAGCGAATATCTCATTATTCTGTCCAAGTCTTAAATGTCTCGATTTTAACATTATCTAAATAAATTTTAAAATTATCAAAATAAATCTGTAGACTGGTCAACTTACATTCAATAAGTACTTAGCATCAATTTTAAAATTCATATACATGGCGATCTTCTGTAAGGCTCTTACAGAATGTAAACGTTTCTGGCCATCAAACTCCAGTAGACGTTTCAAGACATCACGACCCTCATGCGGTAATGCTTCAACCTCTTCGGGTAAAAAGTCTTCGATATCCTTCAGGTTTCGATTTATGGCCTCGGGTACATTCTCCTCCTCCAGCTTGCTGGTTAAAATATTATCCACACTATCCTTAGGTTGCTGCTTTAAATGCTCTGGCAATGAAATAGTTATAAATTGCCTAATATCCGGACTCTGTAAAGAAAAAACGCAGAGATTATTGATAAATTTTGCCATTAAATATATTTCATGTTTCTAATCAAAAAGGGAGTCTGCTGCTGCACCTGCGTCCTCTGATGTATGTTTGAATAATATATTCTTAGCCAAAGATAGATAAATTCATGAATATACAAAAAAATTGAACTTCCTTTTTTAGTTATTGGTACGTATTCGTCGTCGTAGTTGGCCATAAACAAACACGTTTCTTCTGCACGAAAACGAAGGCAAAAAACTCAAAACAATTGCAGCTATTTTTATCTACTACTATTTTCAGTTAATAGCCACTTACCAAAGTGATGGGATTTTGAATTCAACAACTACCAGAGGCCGGTTTGATTCCTGGCTTGCAACAAGAACCAAAAGAAAAAAACCTGAACCCACCACAAGCAGCAGAACCAATCCAGCTAACATAAACCACAAGAAGAAAACAAGTGGAAAATCTATTTTTATATGGGATTTTTTTTATGGCATCATGAGCAGACTTCTTAAACATGCTTAACATTATTAATTGCCACAATGCCACAGCAACGTCGAACACAACACAAACACACCATCAAACAAGTCTTCTTGGGAAGTTGCTAACTATGATGATCAGCAGAAGACAACCAACCTAAACTTCAACTTGAAAATTGTATAGGAAAAAGAGATTGAAATATTTTTTTTTTCTATAGATGACCACTTATTGCATATGAGGTTCAGAGTTGCCAGATATTTCACTCTTTGGAAAAGGACCAAAATGTATGAATACCTTTCATATATCAAAATATTTAAAATAGTTCGGGAAATTTATATGCGAACATGTCAATGTAGGGAATTTTCTGCGAAGAATGTGTTTACCCACCAAGAATCCAGACCACCAGTTCCTTGACTAGGATACTGCGTGAATGTTTTAGGCAGGACTATTAAATGTCAAAGATGGACCTATGGACCATTTACTACCACCAAGAACCAGGAATGTCGAATTAAATCCACATAGAGAAATCATAATACCTAAAAAAATGAACCAATATTGAAGTTTTCAGTGAACAAGGTATGCCAAGTTGCTGCCACTTCGATTGGAAAATGAGCCAAGGGCATCAGGGGGACGGGGTGAGGCCTTAATATTGGGATATGTCAAAATATGGACTAAGATTGAACATTTTCTGCGAAGAAGTTTACCCAACTATTTTGTTATCCACCCCGAATTCTAAATTATAGCCTCTTCTGTACGATACTTCGCCTAGGACCACATAAAAAGTCAGTCAATCACTTTACTCTTTCATTAATATAGATAGATTTTCTGCAGGTTTTTTGTATCCCTAAAATAACCCGGAATACAGAATTAAGACCACTACGATAGAAAAATTGGTCTCAAAATGGAACAGTTTCTTCTCAGACATTGTTAAAACTCCTAAAAATCGGAACAGCCTTTTGGTTGGAAAAGCAGCAAAATATTTAAAACTAGCATATGCCCGCAACTTCGTTAGCGGATGTAGGAAATATTTCAAAATGTATTAACATATTATTTCATTTTCAGAGAAAACTGCATATGTCAGAAAAAACAATCCACTAAACTAAACTTCCTGCATACCCCGATCCTATACACCCACAATGATTCCAAATTTCAGGGTTTCAACTCTATTAATTCACCCACACCTACACCCCCATACTGATCCTAAATCGAAGTTTCAAGAGTCCAACTCTATAGTTTCACTCACAATTAAAATTGTACTAAATTTAGAACAGTAGTACGAATTTCCAAAACTTCCTACATACCCCAATTCTACACCTCCACAATGATCCTAAATCAAAATTTCAGGATTCCAACTCTTTCGGTTCACCAGAATTCAAATTGTACCAAATTTAGTACACAGTAGTACCAATTTCCAAAACTTCCTACATACCGAAATCCTACACCCCCACACTGATACTAAATTCAAGTTTTAGGATTCCAACTCTATCGGTTCACCCACAATTCAAATTGTACTAAATTTAGTACTAGTAGTACCAATTTCCAAATCTTCCTACATACCCCAATCCTACACTTCCACAGTGTTCATAAATCAAAATATCTGGATGCCAACTCTTTCGGTTCACCCGAAAATCAAATCGTACTAAATTTAGTACATAGTAGTACCAATTTCCATACCCTCATATATACCCCAATCGTACACCTCCACAGTGATCCTAAATCAAAATTTCAGGATTCCAACTCTATCGCATCACCCACAATTTAAATTGTACCATATTTAGTACGCTTAGTACAAATTTCTAAAACTTCCCACGTACCCCAACCCTACACCCCCACAGCGATCCCAAATCCAAGTTTCAGGATTCCAACTCTATCGGTTCACTCACAATTCAAATTGTACCAAATTTAGTGCACATTAGTACACATTTCTAAATCTTCCTACATATCTCAATCTTACACCTCCACAGTGATCCTTACTCCAATTTTCATGCTTCTAGCTCTATTGGTTCACCGAAAATTTAAATTGTACCAAATTTAGTACCATTTAGTACCCACAAGTATTAATTTGTTAAACTGAATCCTGACCCTAATCCTACATCCCTATAATGATCCTAACTCCAAATGTCATAGTTCCAGCTCTATCGGTTCACCCAAATCCAAATTGTACCAGTTATAGTGTGATTTAGTATTTTTCGTACAAATAAGTACAAATTTTCCAAAACTACGTACACATCCTAATCCTACAATCCGACGGTAATGTTACTTTCAATTTTGAGGATTCCAGCTCTATTTGTACCTCCAAATCAAGTTTGTACCAAATATAGTAACATATAGTACATTTGGAACACATGAGTACACGCTTTCCAAACTCTCCTCATATCGACCCTACTTCTCAACCTTAATTTGCTTTTCCAAATTTCAAGTATTTAGCTCAATCCATTCACATGCTACGAAATTGTACATTTTAGTACTTTTCGGATAGTTATAGTTCGAATTTCCAAAAACCCTTTGGTACATCTATCCCACACTCCATCAACGACCACCAATCCAAATTTCAGAGTTCTAGCTCCACCGCTTCGCCAAATACAAATGGTATCACATTTAGTACTTTTCGTACCGTTCTAGTACGAATTTCCAAAAACCCAGCCTTATCTGTCACATTTGGACCAAGAGTGGCTCTCACTCAAAATTTCAAGATTCTAGCTAGAATCTAGTTGTTTTATTCTATTATCCGACCAAAATTTCTTACTTTAAGACCAAAGTGGCATTATTTCCTCAATAGCAACACCGACAGGAAAACAAACGAGACAAACCTGTCTTTCAGTCTATTCTAAGTATAGCTTTTATGTCTGATGTTCTATGTTTAGATTTCTTCTTCGCAATTACTTCAATACTTAGAAATTATGTTACCTCGTCGTAAAAGCTCTTTATCAGATCCACTAGCAATATTTTTTGGACCGCCAGTTCATTTACAATTAGTAAACGGTGTTCAATTTATGGTCATGTTGTGCTGTCCATTGTCTGTGAAGCCTTTTGGGCAGAGAGAGTGTGTTGGATGATAAACGATTCATAGTTTATCGATAAATATCACCAATTTCAAATGGCAATTAAACATTTTGTGTTCACGATCAATGTAAGATTATTTTTATCGGGGAGAGACAAAGTGGCTATTTTATATTTATGGAATAAAAATTACATAAGATCCGATATGGGAGGATATTCAGAGACATAATGGATTTTTTTAAACGAATATTTTTCAAAGATACTCTATGCTACAGGCGTTGATTTTTTAAACGTGGATTTTTTAAACAAAAAATTTTCAAGGATACTCTAAGCTACAGACATGGATGTTTTAAAGGAATATTTTTCAAGGCTACTCTGGGCTACAGGCGTGAATTTTTGTAAGGAATATTTTTCAAGGCTACTCTGGGCTACAGGCGTGGATTTTTGTAAAGAATATTTTTCAAGGATACTCTGGGCTACAGGCGTAGATTTTTTAAAGGAATATTTTCCAAGGATACTCTAAGCTACAGGCGTGGATTTTTTTAAACGAATATTTTTCAAGGATACTCTAAGCTACAGGCGTAGATTTTGTAAACGAATATTTTTCAAGGATACTCTAAGCTACAGGCGTAGATTTTTTAAACGAATATTTTTCAAGGATACTCTGGACTACAGGCGTTGATTTTTTAAACGAATATTTTTCAAGAATACTCTGGACTACAGACGTGGATTTTTAAACGAATATTTTTCAAGGATACTCTAAGCTACAGGCGTGGATTTTTTAAACGAATATTTTTCAAGGATACTCTAAGCAACAGGCGTGGATTGTTTAAACGAATATTATTCAAGGATACTCTAAGCTACAGGCGTGGATTGTTTAAACGAATATTATTCAAGGATACTCTAAGCTACAGGCGTGGATTTTTTAGACGAATATTTTTCAAGGATATTCTAAGCTACAGGCGTGAATTTATTAAGTGAATATTTTTTTAAGGATACTCTAGTCTACAGGCGTGGATTTTAAACGAATACTTTTCAAAGATACTCTGGGCTACATGCGTGGACTTTTAAATAAATATTTTTCAAGGCTACTCTAAGCTACAGGCGTGGATTTCTTAAATGAATATTTTTCAAGGCTACTCTAAGTTACAGGCGTGGATTTTTAAACGAATATTTTTCAAGGATACTCTAAGCTACAGGCGTGGATTTCTTAAATTAATATTTTTCAAGGCTACTCTAAGTTACAGGAGTGGATTTTTAAACGAATATTTTTCAAGGATACTCTGGGCTACAGGCGTGGATTTTTTAAACGAATATTTTTCAAGGATACTCTAAGCTACAGGCGTGGATTCGATAAAAAAATATTTTTTATGGATAATCAGGGCTATAAGCGTGGATTTTTTAAAAAATATATTTCAAGGATAATCAGGGCTATAAGCGTGAATTTTTTAAAAAATATTTTTTCATCGTAATCAGGGCTAAAAGCGTGAGTTTTTTAAAGAATATTTTTTCATGGTAATCA